GGTATGTGGCCATCACAGCATTGTGCATGGCTGGCACGTCCCCTTTGTGAGATTTGATGGCCCAGCCATAGTAAGAGGTCAATTTGTTAACCAGGTCACCAGTCAGCCGCCCCCTACCACTGAGGCTCTCAGAGCCAGCTGGCCTCTGCTTGGGGAGATTGCGCAATTGCGTGCCCATCCTCTTCTGGACGTGGTTCACACATTCCTCTTTGGTTACCTTTATAAAACCATACACATCTGCTTCCTTCAAAGCAGGGTAGGTGCGGCAGTCGCCATCAGAAAGAACTGTAGTGTATCTCAGCTTATGACGCTCCCACGACCTCTGAAACAGAATGAGGGCAGCTTCCACTTCCATCTCCCCAGCTTTTTTTGTGCTGTTTTTCTGGCATTGGTGGTTCGCTTTCCACTCGTCGTAGGACGGGTCACTTTCTTTAGGCGCCCGCTCGCAGCCGGCACAAAAATTGCAGAGCACGACATAATCGAGCACAAGCCCCGTAAACAACTCGATAACTGTGCCGACTCCGATGTGCGACGAGTGTCCCCTCGTTATCCAGGAACCGTCGTACGACACAGCGATGTTGCCCGGGTTGCCGAGGTCCAGTTCCGCGTACAGTTCTTGAACCGATCGCGCGCACTCCGCGGTCAGCTTTTCCGACGCACGAACAGCTGCGGGCGTCCGTTTCGTCTTCACGTAGCTCTGCCACGTTTTGTTGTGCAGGCCACGCGAAGAAATGTTCATCAATGAAAAAACGTCGTTGAATGCCGTTTGCTGATTGCCAGTAGACTGCATAGCGCGCGCGCCCAAAACATTGATGGCAAACGGCTTTGCCTTGCTCTCGCCGTCAACGTGCGGCGAGCTCCATGCCACCGACACATCGCCGCAGGTCGCGCACGTAAGCACTAGCTTTACGGCAAGGCCGTACTCCCTGTCCTCTTTGCCGATGTTTACATCACCGGAGCACAATTTGCACTTCACTGCACGCATCAGTTCGTTCACCTGGTCCAAACTCACGATCAAAAACCGTGTTTCGTCCAGCGGCATGGCTGCGGCATCGTCGATATCGGCTAACAGGCCGCACTTGCGTTGTGTTGCTCCAGTTGAAGCGAGCTCTTGCAGCTTGTTTTCGGCGTTGCGACGCACTTCTGCCACTTCTAACGGGTGCAGCACTGCTGTGTCAAGACGAACGCGGCCGCTGCCGGATGCGTTATCTTGAGCGGGCGGCGGCGGAGGTGCTAGGCCTATGTTATCAGGGGCCTTGCCGCTGGCCACGGAAGGTGAGTCGCTTGCTCGTTCAGCGCTCCTCGCTGACGCGGAACGGCCTTTGAAGTTCTCGAGGAGCGACTTCTTTCTTTTTTTGCCGTACTGATTCCTTGTGTGGAATTTCCTTCCGGCTTTCCACATCGCGCGCAATCCTTGGCTAATCCGTCGTTCTCAGTCCAAGCAATATGGCGCCTGACTGCGCCGCCGACGGCGCGAAGCAGACGACACACACCGCTTGCGGCCAATCGCGTTGCGCTGTTTAGTCACGTGGGCTTGCCGGCGAATAGGAACGCGTATTTTTGCTTTTTTTGGCGCGTGTTTTCTACTCTACCAATGAGCGGACAGGAGCCAGAGTGGCAGGAAATTGAAGACCGAAGACCGCGCTTTCAAATGAGAGCTAGATCACTGCGATACTGCCCGTGGCGCAGGCGCAGCGGCGGGGAGCTATTGAAATATTGCCATTTTGGCGTCAGAATCTCGCCAAATCGGGCCCGTACGGCTTTTATAAGTAGCTGTTACTGTTCAAGTACCAACTTTTCGGAGGAAAAACTGAGCAAACTAATAGAAAAATACCTGTAGATTTCAAAAATTACATCTGAAAAAATGCGTTTTTGGGCAATTTTTCGGCCCCAAAGACCCGTGTGCCCCCTTAAGTTAGGGTGAGACTTCCTTTGGCCAAAAAAATTCAACATTGAGATTATGCAGTCCCTTAATAGAGGATCTAAAATCAACAGTTGGACGGAAATGTGTCTGGTCAGGAACAGACATAAAGACAAAACAACACACTGATTCTGATTGAAAGCAAATAAAAGCATGTTTCGGCCTCTGTATGGGAGCCTAGTCACAAGTAAAAAAAGAAAAAGACTTTGCCACTGGTCAACAAGGCTCGCGTACGGGGGGTTGAAACATCGTGCTTTTATTTGCTTTTAATCTTAGTCAATGTGTTGCTAATAATGTGATAATGTGATAATGGAGGATCTGTTCATCTGTTGGAAAATACATCACACTTGGGCACTTGTGGTCTCAAAACTAATTTTTGGTCCTTTTCCTTTGACAGGTAACGTGCAAGTACCCCTACATAATTTCTGCATTTCTGCCAAAACAACGTTTTCAACGTCTGTGTATGTTTTCTTGTGAACTATCAGGCATAAGCGTACAAAAATTCTCGCATGTACTAATTTGTGGCACGTACACAACTGATACTAGCCTGGGTGCCACTGTATCTCTTTAGTATCAATAGAACCATTCATAGTGGCCATTTTAATAAATTTACAAGTGCAAAAATATGCAACAAACCTAGTTTTTCTCGTAGGCACGCAATTTTGACTCCAGCTTTGTAGAGCAATAGTAACTGCCTTTGCGCAAAATTGCAATGCTTTGCCGATCTTGAAAAAGTACAAATGTAGAAAAACTTAACAGCACACTTTCAAACCAGACGTGAGCTCCAATGCAACCTGCGCCCGCCTTTCACATACCGTGCAAATTTTATAGCCACATTTTTTACTGCTGCTGCTGTACAGCCAAATTTGAAAACTAACATTCAATGTCTCACACCACCTTGACTGAAAGGTTGAGCCTTTAGTAAGTTAGCAAGTAAGTGAGTGACAATCAGCCAAACATGAGGTGTGTAGCTACTGTGCAAAAACCAGTCTGGGCCCCAACCTGAAGGCAAATGCAATGGAAGTACAACTGCTGCATCTGTTTAAACAGATAAATGTTAAAATATGTTTAAACAGAAATTTCTCAGTTTAAACCAAGGCATTTAAGAAAAAAATAAGGGATCTCAATTTCAGGTATCAGTATGGGGGATGCCAAAAGCCAACAAACGCAGCAACAGTCTTCCAGATTATAATGGATGGAGCAATAACGAGGACTGTACAGCAGAGATGTCCGGGAAGTTGCTAGCATCCCCAAACACAGGTAACAGACCTCTACCAAGGTACGTCACAGTGTGACGCCATCGGCGCACATAGAGGTGGTGGTTGGCAAAACAGCCCCGCTGGTGGCTGAGCGTGGTACAGTAGTGCGGTGTTTGGGGCTAGTTTTCTTTTATTTTTCAACGCTTAAACTTCATGTCACAGTGGCAACATTAGCTGTAGTATGTGTATGGCTGCCATCTACGACGAGCACATTTCCACTTGTTAACCCAACAGAATTGTCCACCATATGCAGCAACGTTTCCCTTTAAAAGCTGTGACTGTAGAGAATAGCAAATCACAGACACATCTGTCGAAGGAACGCATACACGCAGCGCTGCCATGCAGAAGGATCCCACCAACCGAACTTTCTTACCAACCAGCACCTGCTCCGAAGGAGGGGATGGTGGGCGGGGCTGCGACATCATGCAGTTTGCAAACAGGGAGAGGTCTATTGACTGTAAAAGTGCAATGCTGTACACTCAAACGAGGCAAACATTAGGATGTGTTTCAAGATCATGTTCTGTTTAATGGTGGCCTCACTACGGAGTGTGTGGAGATGAGGATGGGGCTTTGTTGACAAAAAAGAAAAAAAAAAGATTGTTCCCAGTTTTAGTCTCAACTTTTCACACTGCTAGTACTTGCAATGGTTTACAAGAAGCACTAAAAATTAAAAAAAAAAAAGCGCATGCTCAGAACGAACCCCTCATTTTTCCTGCTATGCTAGGTGCTACTAACATCAACCATGGTTTGCGCAAAGAGCGGTAAAGAGAAGAAAATTATTTAGATCACATATTCTGCGTGATATGGAAAGCATTCTTGGACACTTACACGAAATGTGTAGTTTTTCATAATGTGAGGAGACGGCATTGAAGGTTTTCAATATTACTATATGTTGTGAGAATTGAGGCTAGCCCGCTGCCTTTGCACGGGCTTTGCTGCCTCTTCTACCATTTTCATGTCTCGACATGACTCCCCTCCTCCGCTGTCTGCTGCGCTGGGAGAGCGAAGTGACGCTTAGCCCCTCTCACCCGGTAGCGAATGTCGACTGCGGCGCTGCGCGCGGGGTCTCTCGGGACGTTTTGCGCACGCGCATCGGAAGTGAGTCAGATTTCTCCGAGACAGCTTGCGGTGAGGACGCATTCCCTTTTCCGTTCGTCGACTCCCGTTGTTTGGGGCTCGTCGGACTTCGCGGACGGCGCCCCGCGCCCGAGGCGAACGCTCACCTTTTGTTACCCTTTGCGTACGCTCGGCCGAAGAGTGGTACGGTGTCCTAGTGCGTGGCCAAGCTACGCCGACTTGTATCTCTCCGAAGCCAACGCAAGCACCTTTGCCCTCGCTCGAGCAACAAGGCCTTGGAACCGGTGTCTCCGTGAATCACTTTTACCGCGTCGACGTGCTCGCGGCACCCCTGTGTAGTGTTTCTTGCCGTGGCGTGGATTAGCCCATTTGCTTTCCCTCTGCACCTTTGCAACGGGCTGTACTACGTTTTGGTGTTGCCGGAGGCAATTAAGTGTTGCGACCTTGAGCAGTACTGTGTTCTCGCCATGGCGACGGTTAACGCGTGCCCTACGGCTCGCTAAGACCGGACCCACGCTAGTGGCCATACTCCTTCAAGATACGCGCACACTACAACGTTCTATTACGAGTCTTCCAGTTATGATGGGATGAACCAGAGAGCTGCCTCCCATTTGTCTGTTGTTTGCTTGCACCGCCGTTTGTGCTGTTTGCCATCCTTGACATGCCAGACATCTCTTTATCACACCCAAGGATATGCAGAACAAGCGTCGGTCTGGAATAGGTCTGAAGTAATACTGTTCTACCTTGGGCGACCATCTCGTCAACATCCGAGGGGTTTCCGTGGTCTGGGTAGAGCCTGAGGTGCCGGCACAGGCCGCCCCGACCGATGTAGGACTTGGAGCAGGTCGGACACTTGAAGTTTCGCGGCCTCCCACCATAACCTGGAACAGCAAAGAATGGCGCTACACTTAAACCTCGATATAACGAAACCCAATATAACAAAACACTGGTTATAACAAAGTAAGTGAGGAATGGCTCTGTCATAGGTTGCAGTGTTACAAATATATGATTAAAACAAACTTTTGGATATAACGAAGTACTTTCGTGGCAGGTGTGACTTTGTTATAATGAGGTTTGCATGCATAAACTATGCCCAAATTATAGTCTGACACAACATTAGAACACAGCAGAACCTCCTCCTAAAAGGCCAACACGAGCCTGCACCAACTAGTGCAGACTATAAATTGACATCCATGAGCCAGAGACTCGACGATCCTGACACCCTAGTGGTACTCTTTTTCCCGCCAGAGCGGCAACGGGTGATTGATTGGCAACAGCACATCATTTGTGCTGTTGCCAAGTGGTACGAAAATGGGAGTGGTTGTTCACAGAGTTTTGTTTTCGTAAAATGGGAGTGGTTGTTCACAGAGTTTTGTTTTCCTATTGTGCGGACAGATATTGCTTACGAGTTATGAAGTGTTCCACGGCTTCTGTACGAGTGTGCGCACAATTTTCTAACGTTACTGCTTTCTGCAATCAACGATGAACCAGCTATACAATATTTTTTGTTGCTGCACAACCTTGCTTCATGAGAATCGTGGAATCTTTCTTGAGGGGGCACTCTGGTCTTAGGGACCAAAAAGTGACAAAAAGATCAATTCGAAAAATTTACATATCTGGCTTCTGCAAGTATTTTTCTGTCTCTCGGCAAATTTTCACACACCAGGAAGTGGTAATTTTTTTTGTAATGTCATTCTAACTGTCCAGATTTTGGTGCTGTTAACATGCAGGACCTGCAAAAAAATGGGGAACCGGCATCGAGGCTTCTTCATGATTTGCCGGCACATGTGTATGAAGCTCTACAACCAATTTATGAGCACCTTTACGAGGATTGCAAGACCTGTGCACCATGATTGTTGCTTTTTGAAGAAAGCTGTGTGTTCTCAGTTTTTTTTTTTTCATTTTTCTAAAAAAAAAGTAAATTTACGACTGTATAATTTTTAAGGCTCAATATCTCTGCAACTAGGGCAGGTACAATTATAATTATTTTTGCAATGGAAACCTGTACGTATGTAGAATGCAAGTATGGGAGCATAATTTAGAGCAAAAGCCTTTTCAATTATACTCATAAAAATTGTAACACAATGTTAACTGCTTTTGAAAAATGAATAGCTCATTTTACTGTAAAATAACCAAGAAAAGCCTAAAAGCAAAAAAACCCTTGCATGCTTTCAATCTATAGTTATTAGTCTATGTTGGCATATCTTAAATATCACTTTTAATTAACGCTTTTGTGTCTATGGCAGCCTTAAACAATAGTGAATGAACTTAAGCTATCTCAGGAACAAGATGAGTTACAGGAAAACAAATTATATATTTGAAATGAGCAGAAAAAACTGCATATTCCTGAGCAGTTTGATCAAGATCACTGAAGAAATAAACAAAAACATTTCTAAGACCAGTCTGCCCACTTAAGTATCTGTATATGCTTCCATTCAATCACCACCTCCTTTTCACTACAACCCACCTCATAATGATGATGATGATCATCATCATAGTTATTTGGGTCCAGAGAAGATGCAAGGGAGACCATGCACCCCCCGGCTAGTGCCTCTCAGGGACCAAAATTTTTACAAATTTGCCACAAAACAGCAGCTACAATAATATCTGCCCCTAACGTGCCTGCGAGAAGCACCAATTATAATGTCTGCAGACCATGCAATTGGTAGCCAAAGGCCACTGGCAAGTTTTTAAATGCGAATGCATTTCTTAGTTGGGTTATGTCAGGCATGCGACGTTATCCACCCGGCAGGTGTTAGCCCTCCGCTCTCACTCCCTCTCCCATAGCAAAAGCTGCGGGTGCACGCGCTTATCCTCGCCCTTAGAAACCGGAGCACGTGGTGCAAGAGAGTGTCGGAGAGGGTAGGCGCAGTTAGTTCTTCGTCGCCCCTCTTGCTGTTCGCTCTCTTTCCTCCCAGCGCCCAACTTTCCTATCCGCTCGCGCCTCATTATGGACCGTTCACTGGCTGGGCACCTCTCAAGAATATCTGGGAATGTGTGCTCGAGACGTCGCTGTGAAACGGCAACGCCGAGCAGAGAACACTGTTTGTTTTGTTCAGTTCATACTATTTTTCAACCGTGCACGCTAGCTAGTAGAGCTGGAAACGCATACCACGTTTCTTGCGACAGAAAAACGACGCGTGCAGCGAACGGCGCTATTGGCTGCACGGTGTAAGAAAAAAAAAAAGAAAACATTCTTCTAACGCTGAGTTCTCACTTGCAAAACATCGTTACGGACACTACGCAATGCATTCACATTTCCTTACGATTCCCTTCGGAGAAGTGGGGGCACTTTTTTTTTAAAAACGGACACGAGATGCAGACATTAAGTCGAAAGAAATTAAAATTGCATTCCAAAAACCTTGCAGCACCCAATTTGTGCCAAGAAAATGTTCATTTAACAGATAATAAAGTTTAAGAACTTCATAGAGACTCAGCAAAATCGAAATTGCCACTATGTTTCGAGCACACTGGTTTTCGATCGCCGAAGCCAGACGCGCTGCCCGTTACGCTATGAATGAAAACAGGTTTCTTGGCGCAAACACATTGTAAAATCTTTCCAATCTTGACAGGTATGGTGCTGCCATCTAGGAGCGGCACAGCACTTTGCTGCGATACGTTATGCTACACCAGCAAGGCCCTCGTGTAGCTTACAAAGACGCACGCTTGCAGGTAGCACAACATGTTTACATGTTCGTGGCGCACACTACAATATATGCTTCTCTCGTATGTGAAGCATTGTGTGTCGTAAGGTACTGAGCTTATGCTAAAGCCACTGTAGAACCAGACCAAAAATGATCAGCAATATGTCATGGTGGACGTGAACGTACGTTCATCCACGTCAAAAGTTGTCATGTCAGCCTTATGGCAATACACACTGTGCGAATTGTATTTCTACGCACCCAACAGAGCTACTCACTACGGCGTTCTAATGACTGTGGTGCTGAACTGCCGATCTGACGGTGGCAGCCACACTTTCAATGGAGGCAAAATGTAAGAGGCTTGTCTGCTTTGATATAAGCACACATTAACCCTTTAACTGCTCATCTTTTTTTTTTTTTTTCCAGTCAAAAAGCGCCTATTGTTTTATATGGATGATTACAAATTTGATTGTACTAAAAGTAGCTAGTCAATGCTGAAGAAATATTTTCACCACATACTTAGCCAAATAAATGGAATAAAGTTTATTAACAATACATAGGAAACCAGCTACTTACGGCCAATAATATCTAAAAACCTCATAAACCAAACAGTTACAGACTTCACATCTTTCTTCACTTGTGTAGGCTAAGCACCCTTGGGGCATCTCACTCAGAAAATTTCGAGGCTGCGTGGAAAATTTCAATACACGGAATAACGCAAAGCAGCTTCACTGGACTTCACTCGAAATGCTCGTGTCCGAGCTGTCTTTATCATCACCGGAGCAGCTACTTGTCTCACCGTCATCGCAGTCGTCACTTCCGGGCACACGATAAATATCTGTACTCGAATCGCCGTCCCTCGGAGAAGGTGGCGAAAACGCATAGCATTTTTTTTCCTGTTCACGAGCCAGCTATGCCTGGATCGCCGCCCACCACCCGCCATCTCTCCATACAAGAACTGAGATTCTGCCGCAAGAGAAAACTGAATTCCCGAGCAAATGCTGCCATCGAGTGGATGATATGCAATGTAAGTCGTAAATGCACACTTCTCCGCTTGAACACTAGATAGGAGTAGCTATTGAGCCAAAATGAGTTCTGCTTGTCCAAAGTAGATGGGTGACAGTTTGGGCAGGACGAGCTCTGCTTGTCTAAAGCAGTCAAGGGGTTAAAAAACCCCTAGTAGTGCAAACTTCCACAGCCCTCACTGCATTGTCTCTCATTGTCATGTGGTGGTTTTGGGATGTGAACTTCAACAGTTACACTATGTGCCCAACAGAGCTGCAGCTAATACTATGACATGCAACTTGAAGTAGCAGGTCATAGAACGCCAGGCCAGGCAAATAGCCAGGCTAACATCACCATTTCATAAAGGCTTTTCTCTCTCTCTACACTATTACGACAATTTCCTATGGAAGAGAGATCAACTTATCAGTCCTAACTACTTTGCTGCTTTAAGTGCCCCAAGCTAGTTAAAAATGATGAGCCACACGACACCTGACCCAGAACAATGTTACCAAGCAGCACTACTAACACTATGACCACCATATGTGCTAACCTGTATTTAATAGTAGTTGCCATGGGGACAGTCTTAATGACTCACCGGTGGAACGCCGATTGCGATCCTCGTCGTCGCTGACCTGGTAATCAGAGTAGCCACCGTCTGAGTCGTCGTACGGCTCATCGTCGAAATCCAGATGGTGGATGCGCTTGTAGTCCTTGACCATGTACGAGGGCGGCTTGGAGATGCGGCCCTGAACGTGTACGTGGCCGATGCTTCTTCTTCTCTTCCTTCTCCTCGCGTGAGAGCTCAGGCCCTTCGCTACGCGGGTCGTCTTCCTCCACGACCCGCCTGGCGAGACCCCGGCCACGCGGCCGACCCCTACCTCGACCCGAGTACGAACCCCGACCCCGCGTGGTCGTGGGCCGCGAGGTCGTCTGCTTGCCCAGCTCCGACGGGTAGATGACCCGGTAGATGATGCGAGTGTTGGTCTGCGGGTTGAACACCACCGCGGAGCCGCCATTCTGGATGGCCCGATTAACCTGCAGGAAACAATAAGGCACAATTTAGGATGTGCGGCGATTTCAGCGAGCTTCATAGTCTTCATTTATAGTCACAATGGCTTCGAGTGCTCCAAGCGCCAAGGTGTTTGTTCACCAAGTATCCACAACCCACCAAAAGCAAGTTTCTGAAAATATGTTTATAGCATTCAATTTCAACCTTTTTAATTTCAGCTATTTCAATGAAAATTTTCAACCATTCAATGCATGTTGTTTCCCCTCTACTAGTTTAGAAGTATTTCAGCACCCTGTAGACTAAGCCATATGAAAGGGATGAAATAATGAACACACAGGAGCACTAACTTTTAAGGTTCCTGGCCTCACCACTAATGAATAGAAAGCTACGTAATTGACTGGCAGCTTCACAAATAGCTATAATCTAGAGTTCTTTATTACTAATAAGTAACATGACTCAGCTATGACCTCGCCAAAATTTCATCTAAGGCAAACCATGTGATTAGTACTACTGTGACAAAAAACTCATTTCATGCTATTAAACCATCCACGTTACACAACTAGCGACGAACACCGAATTGCTCAATCGTATCACTTCATGCAGTCAATCTGCCGCTTTGGTGATAGTTTTCCTGCTGTTCACAACCACACACCATAACAGGCAACCGGCTAATGTTCAATATCAGCTAAACTGAACGACAACTACAGCGATTGTCCGCTTGTGCTATTTGTATTTTTGTCTCCTTGACCGATCTCTCAAAGCTCATCACCCCCCCCCCCAGTACTGCCACTCGTGAATAAAAGGGGAGGAGATAACAAAAGAACAAACAGCTCCGTGTAATTTCCTGCACTGAAACTCTCTAATGAGACAAAATTTGAAACTCTCTAAAGAGACAAAAGCTGCCGCCATTTCGATAAACCCAGTACAGAGAACCTGTCCACGATGTCACATAAAAACTATGTTAAGTTGCGCTATTTCAGACGGCGGCATACCTTTTATATTCTGTTTTGCAACATTTACGTGTTACCTGAGAGCATTAAAGGCTTGGGATTGAAAGGCTGTGGTTGAACCTGCTGGCGTTTTTTTTTTTTTACACTCTTTTTCCTGTTCACAAAATCATGGTTTACGATATGAGCCACTCGAAGCCTGCCTCTGGACAGTGGGCACCAAGCAGAGCCAAGTTGAACAGCTCGGGTGGTTGTGTAAACATGCGCAGCATGCACTTGACTCAAGGGTCAAGAAAAATGAACCTGACTGCTAGCTCACAGATGGTTCTATTATAACGAGGTTGTATCTTTACGAACAAATGAAACAATATGATGAACATACGTAGGTAAACATGTTAAGTACCAAAACAAAAAATTATGACCTCCCGTTTCTTTGCTACAATGTGTTGCCACGCTTCCAAGTTGCTGGGGACCTGTTTGCCATTACATGGCACACTGCTCACTGCAACACGCGGCGTAATTAACTACAGGCTCCTCATTGCCAGCCAATCTCAGTTTCGGTTTGAGAGAGCTCCAAAAACAACTAGTGATTGAGTGCCATTATCCCCGCCTAGCCGGTGAAACTCTCAACCACATCGTTGCACAGAACTGGGCGACTCTCGCACGGTCCACATCAAGAAGTCCTTTCCGACAGGAAATGGAACAGCACTGTCGTCAAGCACCATACTTTCGACACATGCGCTACGACCACAACCCACAAGCAGCTTCTGAATAGTGTGCATGAGTAAATGCGGCAGAACAACTTTCGACGCATGCCCTGCGACCACGAGCTTACAAGCAGTTGCTGAATACCAGTGTGCTTGAGTAAATGTGGCAAAACAAAAATCGAGGTTATTGTGTCATCACAACTCGTTGTATTGACTGCAGCGTGTCGGCATGAGTGAGAGAAGTGTGGGGGGTCTCCATGGGGTCACTTTTGAGAGTGTCAATACCTTCAAAATTCATGTAAGATACCTTCCAAGCTATATTTGCTGTTGATATTTTACACAGAATGTTATACTCATGTTTACTAGAATCGATTCCTAAGGCTATCTTGGCCGCGGAATTCTGTGTCAGTACCACTTATTTGTTCGCAAAGATTGTTCAGAACATTATAGCTCAACACTGAACTAAGCAGCGGAAAAACATACTTCTCAACAAAGCTGAAGTTTTCATGTAAAAGTGACACAATGTGACAAACCGTTAGTGCTACAACCGAACATAGCATTTGCCATTATGCCAGAGAATTCACCGCCAACATTTGTACACTTCAGCAGTGGTAGTCACAAAGTATCGCCCGATGGAAGAGTAATGCATGTTCTAAAACACACATTTGCTATGCCAAAATAGCCATGTGCTGCGCAGCGAACTCAGTGAAAGGCGGACTCGTAGTTGCCCGAAACAAATAAGGCATGATGTTTCGAGATGCGTCAAAGAGAGCATCAGTTGTTTTATCAAAGTTGCAGAACGAATATCAAAAGAATGGGAAAGGTGTCCCTGCATGGCAGGTAGTTGGACCAGTGCTGTGACCAAGAAATTTGATTGACGTGGCAGAGGGGGATAGAACATAGGAAAACTTCCATTATGACAACACACTCGTGCAGTGTGATGGTGACATTGAGAACAGCAGAACTAAATTTAAGAAAGCATGGATAAACCCACACAACACAGCCAACACCCCTGCTGTGTGCATCACTGTCTGTCTGTCCACATTTTCTTAAATTTTTTTTACAGCCATTCCCAAGGTGACGTACGGCCAACTGGCCCGCCTGTACCACTCAAGCACGATGAGGATCTCTTGCTATTTCAGTCGCAACGAAAAAGCGCAAACAAGATCATGCTTAGCACTGGAGCGGAGTCTGAATAATCTAGTTTCTGCCATTTATGGTGCAATGAAATGGCTTGAGTAGTTTTGTAAACTTTGCTGACATCTTCCTTGAACAGCGCCAACAAGAGCGATAGCTCTGCAAACTGTGATTGACACACATGCAGTTAGCCAATGCCTGCAGCGCAAACAAAGAGTTTTTGAGGGTTATTCAACATACGGATGTGGGAAGAGCCAACAGAAAACGGTGACTATAGGTCACCGATGATGCCTAAATCAGACTGATGATTCAATTCAGTTATGAACACTCTCCTCCCTAAGTACCAGCCCGTCGTTTTGTTCTCGCGCTATAACTATCGTCGTTTGTGCTTAAGCTGCTAAAATGAGTGGTGTTGGTCCCAGCATTTTCTTTGGCTCTGTCCCATGGATCTAAACAAATGAGCTTTTGGTTTGTGTTTCAACGTTCCTGTGCACCTCTGGTTTGGGCTACGCTGCCTGCCACTACGAATTTCGTAACAAGCAGTGCGATCATATCAAATGAGAAGCATGTTGTGAAACATACAAAATAGAGTAACAGGACAGTGTGCACTGTTTTTTTTTAGTATCGAAGGCGGCACATTACCAGTTCAGTACGAACCATTTACTCGCACATCTCGAAGTTGATTATTCATCATCACAAGGCAAATACAGATGACTGACACGGGAAAAGTGCCCATGCATTGTGTTAGTTTTCCTGATGTGTGCGTTGAGTTTGCTTTGAAAATGGTTTACTAGCATTATTGGACTGACTGCTATGTAACATACACAATCTTTTTTGGAACCCTGCCATGCTGGTGTTTCCCAAGCTGAACGGAAAGTGTAGCTGGCAAGAATCACGCTTTCGCAACATTCGCAGCCCAAACATGCGCCCAAACGCAAGCAAGTACATGAAACCGTGAAAGTACAATAAAGCTCGGCAATATGCCCAAAAATTCTAGTATCGCCGGTGTCGAGCACTCGAGAACAAAGGCCGTAGACACAGACACACGAACACTTCTTTCAGCTCAGCTTGCCCGCAGAGCCACCACAAGGCGGTCTTCCCACGGAAACATGGAAGCGCGGGAAATATGCAACGCACCGAACCACCAAACGACACGAGAGCCGCGTCAAGTTCACCTGCTGTTGCTGCAGCACGTGGGCGATCTGCTGTAGCTGCTCGGACGACAGCACCTGCGTCGAGTGGTACGTGTTGCCCTGCTGAATGATCTGTATCGGGTTCTCCGACGATCCCAGGGGCGCCGTACTCTGCTTCGGCTGCGACGACGCGGGCGCGACTGGCGCCTGAATCGTGATGGGACCACCGGCATCGACGCTCTCTTCGTCGTCGTCGTCGACAGCACTGGCAGCCACCGAAGCGGCGTCGTCCTCGACGGGTGCGCGTTCGTCCGGCGCTGTCCCCATCTCGCCGTCATGTTGCTGAACTGGCGACGGCTCTCCGGCGTCCACAGCCATCGCCTCGGCCGCTTCCTCGGTCCCGCCAGCGGAGGCGACCCCCTCGACGCCGCCACCACCGTTCTCGGGCAACAGCTCTCCGTTCTCGGCGGCGGCTTCGACGGGCGCGGCACCTTCCGCGCCTTCAACCGCGTCCGCCGCCAAGTCCTGCGCGGCTAGTACGGGAGACACGTCGCTTCCCGCCGAACTGTTGACAGTGGCCGGATCGTGGGCCCCTGTGGCCACGTCGCCGTCCACGGCGGCGGCTAGGGCTGTCTTGTCGACGATCTGAGCATCTTCGCCGGCCTCCTGGCGCAAATTGCCGTCCGCGAGGTCTCCTTCGCCACCGTGGGGCTGCAGCGCGACGCCGTCAGCTTCGGGCGCGTACGTTACCACCTGATCGTCGTACTCGCCTCCCGCCGAGGCCTCCTGGAACGCCTGCTGCAGGATGTCAGCGGTAGAGACGTCGGTCGAAGGCGCCGGGGTCGCGTCGCCGTCCAATTTGCCGTCTACGACCGAGGGGCCGTCGCCCTGCCCCCCGCTCGCGCCAACTACCATGAGGTTTTGTTGTTGTGGCTCTGCATCCGCCATATTGGCGATGCGACGGGGCGCCTTGGTGGTGACTCGTATGACACCTATATCGTTTGCAAAACTTGTCGCGCTCACCACTCGTTGCACCAATTAATGAAGCGCACTTATCTTGCGGGCTGCCGGCGCGAAGAAACGGGTTCTGCGAGTCGATGCCGAAAACCGTACGCGTTCTGCTATTTTACCGAGGTCAGTGCGATCATCCGCCATGACGCAGTTGCCGCGCCGTTCGTTCTTCACGACGAGAAAAACGACTCGAGCGCCAACTCGATGCGGCAGGGGGCGCTGCCAAGGCGAGAAGTGGTCCCGCATTGACACACTATTTTCAATTAACTGACATTATCGCATTTATAATAACACCTGATTATAAAGGTATATGCGCCGTATGTTATCATACGTGGTGGCATTACTTGTTTTGAGTATAGTCCTAGAAATTAGCTTCAAGCTTAACGTGTATTCAGACACACACCGGACCCTTAGTAACGCTTGAGAAACCGAGGTATATAAGCTGGATCGCAATGATTCATTGTGCCCAGACGAGCCTCGGTGGTCCGGGGTGCGGGCTTCAAACCCGTAGCTGATTGACGTCAGAGTGGTTCGATTCCACCTTCTGGGCGTTACTTTTGTTACTCGTCGCCATTTTTTTCAACTAGAAACTTGCGGTGCTCATCGCCCGCGCTCACAGTTTTGCTGTTTCTGCTGCTGCGTTCATGCTTGCCTCTACCGGTATCTCGGGTGAAATTTTTAGAACAAGATAAAGGGCTTGCAAGAGCAATCAAACGCGAATGTCGAAATGGTCAATCCGCGCAGGATGTTGCGAGCGCTCGCAAGTACGCGATTTATCTCCAGTTTGAGCACTAATTTTGTCGAATAAAACCATTGCTGCCACTCTTCGCTAAAAAAGAGACAGTGTTCCGTTCCCGTTCAGTGAATTGGTGGACACAGGGAGTGGACCCGCGGACTTGCAGAAAAATTTGGGCAGTTCATCGTTTAAAAAAATGCTCGATTGGTGTATAGCTGTGCTACCTAGCCGCAAGAAACGCTGTCAAATACTGAATAACACAGAATTTTTTGTTTGTTTTCTCTGCTACAGGTGGTGCCGCTTCTTGATGCATATAAATCTACGTGGCCTAGCACAGGCAGGACAAGACCACGTATTATGGGGTTGCCCCAACAACCCTCCATCCGAGGAGCTCCTGCAGCTATCTTCCTCACTGGAAGCCTGAGAGAGATCCTTAAAGAGTCCGAATTCGCATATACAGTGCGGACTCGTCTGCTAGTGTTGCGGCCCCTTGGGCGCCACCCAGCCTAGCCCCCGTCAAACTTGGTTTCCCCCATTTCTCCTCCCCTTTCTGAATAATAAAGTTTATTCGTCCTCCCCCGATTGGAAATTTTTGCGTGTCACCGGGGCGGCGTCAAACATTTGTAAACCACCCAAAACATTAAAAAAAAAAAGGGGGGGGGGGGGGGGGGGCTGGATATCGGACTGTTATAAAACGTGCTACCGTGTTGTGCAAAGTTTTCCCGCGAGCATGATACTCAGCGCAGTGATCTCTATCTTCTGGCGGGCTGCTCATGGGTAGAGAGACCTAGAATTCTAGGTCACTCTATTCATGGGTGCGTAAGGCATCAAAAAGATATCTGAGATGCCAAATTACCACTCACCATAGTCGGCAAAGCCTAAAAGGGCGTCATTGCATTGCGGTTTCTTGGGGACACGAGGAACTACACATACACAACAATACACAAAGCTACATAACGACCCTCGCTCTAAGTACGGAACAATAAAATATGGAGTACCTCAGGAATCAATATTAGGACCCCTTCTATTCACTGTGTACATAAATGATATTGTAAACATTCCTTCATCTTCGAACATTATCCTGTATGCCGACGACACTAACATCTTCTTTTCTGGTCCCAACCTAAAAGAACTTGAGCAGAGAGCGAATAGTTGGCTTGAAGAATTAGATGGATGGTTGAGGGTAAATCAGCTGAGATTGAACGTGAAAAAAACTAATTTCATTTTATTCCGTGCTAAAAACAATGCAATAAACCGCAACCCAAAACTCTATTTTGGTAATTCAGAAATAACATGTAACAGCACCTGCAAGTTTCTGCGCGTACACTTCCGCAATGACTTGAGCTGGTCTGATCACATGAGTCATGTAAAACTGAAAATGGTTCGATCTATTGGTGTCATAAGCCGTATTAACCATCTTCTTCCACATTCGGTGGCAAAGCAGCTGTACCTTTCTCTCGTTCATTCGCACCTCACATACTGCAACTTAGTTTGGGGCACATATAATAGGACCAATGCACAAAGATTAATTACCATGCAACAAATAGCATTGCAGCTAATAACTAAAAAGCCAGATAGACCTAGACGAAGCAATATATTTTCCGTTTTTCGTGTATTGTGTTTCACTGAATGCTATAAACTTAAACTGATGGTTCTTATTTATAATCGTATATAACAAGGTTTTGTTTCATTCAGCAATATGTACCTCACTCGTCACATTGAATATAACTTACGAAGGACGTCACTTGTTTCAGCACGATCTAGAACAAATTATGGTGCCCAATCACTTGACCATCAAATAGTAGATATATGTAACAGTTTTCCGTCTGTTAGTAGAATTATCACAGATAAGCAGATCTGTACATTATTTTAATAAGAAAGTAAGATTACTCTTCGATCCAGGATGAAGTGCTACATGCAATATGTTTTGCCACTTGCGATGCATACTTTTGTTCACCAGGTTGTACTTCACTGCATTTCAATTGTTAAACTACGCACATTGTTAGCTCCACTTGAATTCTGAATTATGATGGATACTATTGCACCTCTTCATTCATTAAATCTATTCACAACTTTACTCTGATAGACGTATCAACATGAAATGGTCTTTATAGGTTTTCGTACTTCTATAGCGAACTTGCTTGAAATTCCATGACTTCTCTACAGTGATGCTGATGAATTGTGCTGTACTGGATGTTTTTCGCTTTCCTCACCGCTGTCCTTGTTTTTGTTCTCGAAACTGTTTACACGAGTATATGTTTCACTCCTTTTTTGGTTTTTTTGTTTGTTTTTGTTCACGAGCCGGATGTAGGCCTAGTCAGGAAACAGTTTCGTCTGTTTCCTTTTGCCTCATCTCGGTGGCATGTAACTGTTGTCTACACATGCCAGAATAAACTTGAAAGTGTGGCAGTTTGGGCTAGTTGGTATGGCATGACGATAGTGTCGTGTCCTTCTTGTCTCTGTGTCGTCGTTTTGTTCTCGCGCTATAACTATCGTCATGCCAGAATAAATTATTATTATTATTATTATTATTATTATTATTATTATTATTATTATTATTATTATTATTATTATTATTATTATTATTATTATATACAGGATGTCCCCCGTAAGTTTAACCAGAGTTTAAAAATATGCTGGCACACGCGATTACGACGCGATCAAATGTATGTTGCTCAAAATTGCCTGGAGTTAGACTATTTTTTGTGTTCTCAAGTATTGTTTAATTAGATCTGTTTAATTAACTAACCTTTGAAGGAACAAATATGGATAAAAAATTTCAACGAAAAAGTTGCATATCGGTTTGCAAAACGTGCAAATAGATAGGTAGTTTTGAACTTCATATCTGTTAAGTATTAGAGTTTTTTGTGCTAATTACAAATGCTCGCGAAATACGGAAAGTACCACGTGACAAACCCGCTCGCACATTGCACATGATGATTCTAGTGCTCCCTGGCGTTCCGCGTACGAACGACACGATTCCCTCGCACTGGTTCATGACAGCGATAAGCAGTCACAGCGGTTATCGTTTTTTGTGGCCGATAGCAAAACCTGTTCAACGTAAAGTGACCACCATCCTCGTGGCCCTGCCGAGACAGCGCTATATGAGGCAAATGCTATGGTCGTTCGTACGCGGAACGTTAGGGAGCACTAGAATCATCGAGTGCACTGGCGCACGAGCGGGTTTGTCACGTGGTATTTTTTTTCTCGTATTTCGCGGGCATTTGTAGTTTGCAGAAAAACACTGATATCAAACAGATATAAAGTTCAAAACTGTCCAATAGGACGCTTTGCAAACCGATCTACAACTTTTTCATCGAAGTTTTAATCTATCTTCGTTTCTTGAAAAGTTAGTTAATTAAACATATCCAATTAAGCAATATTTGAGAACACAAGAACTCCGGGCAACGGGGAGCAACATGCATTCGGGCGCGTCGTAATCGCGTGTGCCAGTATATTTTTTTTTAATCGAACCTACGACCTTCGAAGGTCGTAGGTTCGATTCCTGCTCGCGGCAAGTTATTTTTCCCCCACTTTTCTTTCTTCTTATTTGCATTACATTGGTTCTAGTAACTTCCCCTATTCATTCCTTGGCAATATTGTCTGTTTGATCTTATATTGTCTGTTTGATCTTGATCTTAGAAATTTGTGTGGACTGTCTGAGGATTTCTCAATTAATAAGTCCTAACTACTGCCCCAACTACTGCCCCCCTACCCGCTGCAAAGAAGCCATCGCATCACGAGGCATATCTCATGAAGCGAAAATTAACTGCATGCATGACCACCAGCGACTGGACGGAGTCGATCGGTCACGGTTATTGGGCAGTGCCGGCTACACACGCGTCCATACGGCAGCTGGTGACGTGGCTATATATCGTATCGCGTGACGCGAACAAGAGTCAGCTGCGCTGCTATCCTATCGCACAATGGCTGCAGCGTAGGGCATGCAAGTAAATATGCACGTATAACGATGCACGTATCGGTCGATTCTTCGAATACGTCAGGCGTGACGTACGTTAAGCCACTCTAATTCTTGTCTACCCTTCAGGTGTAGCCTGGAGGCACCAGCTGCCGTCGTACCTTAGGTTGGGAGTGGTGAGGATTGCGGGGTGGTAATTCTCGATAGTTATAGCGCGAGAACAGAACGACGAGAAAGAGACAAGAAAGACACGAGCGCTTCGTGCCTGTCGTCGTTCTGTTCTGTTTGTCGTCGTTCTGTTCTCGCGCTATAACTATCGTCATGTCATACCAACTAGCCAAAACTGCCACACTTCTAAGTGGTAATTGTGGTTGGAGTGTTTGAACCATGCTTGTATCATACACGTACACATGTTTACAGATGCTCGAACGTAAATAATTAAGGTTTTTTGTTGAACCCCTCCCTCGATCCCCCGCCAATAAAAAATTTTGTTCTGTACACCGCTTTTTTTTTTTTTTGGTCGGCTTTCTGGATCTATAAGGTAGTGGGGGAGGGCGCTTAGGACAAAGGGGTACAGGTGAAAATGAAGGGGAAAGCGCACGATGATCCCCCCTCCCTATCCTTCCCAGACAGCACTCTTAATTGAAGGAGTGGAGTGTAGTTAAATAGTATAACTAATGCGGTGAGCCACGACAGCTACCCGTACGATCACTGTCATGGGCTTCGAACGCCTTGCGATGATATTAGCAAAGTGACTGCCTTCAATTAAATAAAGAAAAACAAAATTTTGAAAGGAAAAAAAAAAACATTCCGCCGCCCCCGGGAGGGCTCGAACCTCCAACCTTTCGGTTAACAGCCGAACGCGCTAACCGATTGCGCCACGGAGGCAGGACGATTATGGCGTCTTAACAAGCCTAAGTAATCTCTACTCTGGCTATTTCCTGCTGCAGTGAATTGATTTGCACGACGCGGCGTTGGCACATCGTAACAGTAGGTGAATGCTCTTCTCTGCGGACTTCATTGCAAATCACGGCCATGGAAATTGGGAAGCAACCCACAGCGTCTTCGCCTCAAGCTGGACCGGACTACAGTTGAGCGTCTGCCGCGCATTTTCGTGACGATCGATATCGACCGATATGTTCAACGACTACATTGCCATTTGAACTACGCGTTAGCAGCATGTAGCGCCCGATTCTCTACTTGTGCCGGATAACAAGATATGGACAAGTGGTGAAGTATAGCAAGAACTTTTCGACTGCAATCCAAGCGCTTTCTTCTACTGCCGGTGTTCTTGGCATGGTTCACGGAGACGTTCCTAGCGGCCGCCGTCTTAAACTTCAGCAGTAAGGAGTGTCGTGTCGCAGAATAGCTTCACTCTTTTGTCTGTACTATAAACAATTCTTTAAAACACAACTATTTAGGATTATAGATGTATGCGCAAAGAAATATTTTCACGGAATCTTTAAGTAGATTAACACAGTCTGTAGTTAATAGCTGCATTTCTTGAGAAGAAAAGGCCTGATACCTTGTGCAAACTGCACGGACACTTGAAGTGACGTGCTATCGTCTAACAAGCTATACCTCAAGATCGTGCTTCATAGGATCATTTCTATAGTACGATCGCCGAGACGCATCCGCGATCTCGGAATACCCTCAACCACGATGAGGAGTCGAGGGTCTCCGCCTGAGCGCGAAGCCGGCTTCGGGACTTGGGGTTCCGACCCGGGTTCCTGCCATTGATGACCGTTCCCTCGGCTGTGACAGCTGATGGGAGGGCGGAGACTCAGTCTGAGTGGCTGAGGGTATATTTGAAATCTAAAAAAAAAAAAAAAAAAGTCTCTCCTGTCACCGCTCGGAGTTAAACCACAGGACATCACCACTGTTAATGGCGTGCTACGTTCTGCTGTTCGATATTTTCTACACCTCTTCTGCGGAACGTTTTAGAACACCGGCGTTAGTTCTAGCTTTGACTGTTCAGTGATGGCACTTCACCTCCTTATTCTGTTAGCGCCTACCATATCACATCGGGTCACAAAAGCAGTCCTTTTTTACGAAACATAGAGAAGTATGTTCTTCGAGTTAGAAATAAAACAGAAACAGCAATGAACGAAGCCGTGTCGCTGAACGATCGCAGCGCCGGAGTCCCCTATAGTTAATTTTAGGAAACTTTATAGGCCGCAAGAAGTTCAAAATAGCGTGCGGGCCTCAATGTCTTTAAAGCTTCCTTCCGGCGAGCGTGCGTCAGCGTTTGAGGGGTCAAACGCTATTTGAAAACTCATATGATATTCGTACGCAAACGCTAAGCCTGCTAGCCAACGCCTCCATTATTAAGATGCCTGACAAATGGCTCGTGTTGCCAGCGGAGTCGTCCTGCCTTTAGTTTTGAGCAAGCGCCGTGCAGTGGCGCTCGCGACCAACGCTATTCTTACGGCGTTTTTTCTCTCTTTTTTTGTGGCCCCTAGGGGCGCGTCAGTCGAAAGTTATTTCCTTCCTCCGTGGTTATTCAAGATCTGCAACTATACACGACTGTTTTGGAGGCTATGCAAAATGTCGAGCTGTTGCACCATCAGCCACAGGCGACGCTAAAGACCGACAATAAGCCGACAGGATGAAGAAGTCCGCACTGGAGATATATCGAACATTTAAGCAGGAAATTGCCAAGGGAAGGATCTATGATAATACCAGAGTCCCTTAATAGCATTGAAGGACTCTGATAATACTTAGGATAGTTTTCCACTGTTTGAGGCCAGGACGGGAGTATTGCGAACCAAGAAATATCGAGCCAAATACGAAGGGGTAGACACGGTATGAAGTGCATGTGAAGAAGATGTGGAGGAAACTGCCGAACACTTGATAATGTTCTGTAAAGGGTTTCACCGTATAGTTCAGGATGATGGCGCAGAGTTTTTCAAAGCACTGGAGTTTATGGCACAGGGAGGGCAAAATAGACTTTAGGCGGGTAGAATTAACTACAAGAAAGTTATCTGACTGGTGGCTAAAGTCAAGGCACGAGTGATAATTAAACCCTTCCCTGCAAAGTGCCAGTCCTCAACTTCACTATTTAAAGGGAAAAAAAAAGAGATAAATCTAACAATTAGTTCACTAAGTATACGGCTAGGTGGCGTTAGCCGCCGCCCGATCTAAAGGGTACAGACACATCCATCCATCCAATCAAAAATGAAAGAGAGAAAGAATGTAGCAGCTAGTGTTTGTTCTTACGCGGCAGGCATCTAAATAGAGGAGGCGTTGCTTTAGCATAAGCTATGCGAGAACTGCGTCATAACTAGACAGCGCAACTTTGTTAAAGACACGGTCGGGCTAGACTGCACCTGAAAAATCTGCACAGAATGCGCAGATTATCAGTGCTATCGTGCGCAGACAAGTCGCGGCCTCTCGCGGCGGCCCCTGTATCAATAGAATGTGCCATGCTCAAATCAGCCAATAGCTTTGAAAATTGATTTTTGAGCTTATAGCGTCATTTGTCGAGAGAAGAGAAAGTAATCTTTTGCTGACTTCGAGAATTTATTGTGAATTTCAGGGTGCATGCTGTGCCCCTATTTGGCTCACGTGTTTTCGCGATCCTCGACTACGTATCGGCAGCGCTTTCTGATCGAACTCAAAAAGCGTTGCAGAGCCACTTTGAACTAAGAGTGCTTTAATTCCATTGTTTCAAGTAACAGTGACACTAACCACAATATCACGTTCTTCACGGTACTGCAATGAAGCTATATATATCCCGGCTGCGGCGGCTGCATTTCCGATGGAGGCGGAAATGTTGTAGGCCCGTGTGCTCAGATTTGGGTGCACGTTAAAGAACCCCAGGTGGTCGAAATTTCCGGAGTCCTCCACTACAGCGTCTCTCAAAATCAAATGGTGGTTTTGGGACGTTAAACCCCACATATCAATCAATCAATGAAGCGGTCAATGCTTGTCTCCGAACACAAATCGTATGCTCACCTTTACTCTTTCGGAGCATGAAGGAATCCTGCCAAACTCGGCCGATCATGAAGTATGCCGTAAACCATCCCGGCGAAATAGCGCACAACATGCAGACACCACAAGAACTGCACAGTCACTGCTGCACACGCTGGCTCCCGCTCGCTTAATGCAAAAGAACACCGCGAAACTTAGTGTGAAAGCCGTAATACCCTAGCCCGGGGTCTCGACGGGCACAGTAAAATATACTTCCATTAAAAGTTTTCCGAGCAACTGATAAGAGTTCGATCGCGTGCCCCCTCTTGCTTCTATTCGTTCATCAACACCCGTAGTAGCAACCTGAGGAGCACGAGTGAGACCCAAGCTTGGCATCAATTTTTTTTGGAATAAAAAGCTTATTGAGTTGCGCAATTTTATATTCCGACTCTGCATCGTGTACTGCTGAGGACGTTTAATGCGCTACCACAAAAATCAGTGAAGTCTGACTAAGAAGTGTTGTTCTGTTGCATTAGTTTTGCACCAAGGGTACACATTCACGTGGTTTTACGAAGAATTCGCGTGGATGTAGATGTAATCCCTTTGTTGAAGCATGGGTCAGTAGTCTAGTGGAAAGACAGGAGTCGCTCGCTGGATTTCGTGCCGACCGGTTGTGCGCCCGCGCGCTCGCGACCTTCGGCGTCATCGTGGCTCTGGCTGACTGGGCTCGCCCTACGTCACCTCCTGTCGCCGACGACCTTCGACGACAGTGTAGCTCTGACCGACTGGACCTTCTCTACGCCATCTACAGACGCCGACAACATCTCTCGCAAGTGCACCCCGTCCTCGGGCTCCAGTGACCGTGCTTCCATCTTTCCTGTCTCTCCTATCCCCTCAGTTTGTTGTTGCTTCTTCTTCCTCTTTCCTATACCTTTACTTCTACCCTTTTATCCCTACTCACCCCCATCCCTTGTGAGCCCTGTGGCGGTATCGCTCACTGAAGCAGACAATAACGGGGCACACTTTTCTCTTCCTTTCATTAAGAACCACTCCAGTGGAAAGACACTCGCCTTTGGAGCATGAAGGTGCAAGTTCAAATCCCAGCATCAGAAAGAGCATTTCTTTGTTTTATTTTATTTATGCTGAAGACATATTGGGTCTGATCATCTGCTCGCCTGGAAGCAGCGCAGAATCTCGGCCGCAAGGCCCTGCGGGAGTGTCCGCTCTTTCACCCGCAACCACCTCTCACCCTCGCAAGTTCACCCGCAACCACCTCTCACCATCGCAATACCGTATGCACAGCTCTGCACCAGCTTATGAGGAAGAAACTCGGTAATAAATAAGAGACAGATGAGCACGCACGTCTGTAAATTTCACAAGCTGTTTATTAAGTATATATATTTTATATATATATATATATAATTATCAAAACACCATTTTTCTTCCGTAACGGTGCAAATCTTCACTTGACTAGGTTGAACAGTTCACCGAACCACAGGTCTTGTACAGACATATTTTTCTTCTTCTTCCACATTTCCTGTTAAGTACATGTGACAATGTTTGGCATGCAGTGTACAATTGTTTCGCGATCTACTCTTACATTTTTTTGTATGTTTCATGGTTTTCCTTCAGTTAGGAGAAGAAAAAATAGACATTGAACAAACAAACAAATAGAGAGCGACATTTGCAGCTTCTCCAAAGGAAAACAAAAAAGAGAACTTGCAATATTCTGTACAGTTATAAATCTCCACACGATTCGACATTGTAGACACGAAATCTTTGCTTTCGCGCTGTAAACCACGTCGCATCAGCCACAATAGAGGTATACAAACTACTTGTACCTCAAGCTGATAGCCTTAATACAACCGCTACATGTGTCACTATCTTCGCGTTTCCGTGACAGCTCATAATGAAGTTGCTTTTTTCATTTTTTTGGCTTTTGCCAAGTGGGAGGCTACTTTTTTTTCATGTTGACAAATTAATTTGGTGTTGCCATTGCAACTGCAGCACTTGCACCTAATAAAGTTGAGAACGAAGCAGTACCTGCATATTCACGGTGTTAGAAAAGTGGCACAGGTTATGAGAAATTAAAGCAGATGTGACGTTTCTTTGGGAAACGCTAGTGCTTGTCCTATAATGCTTGCACAATTCACCGAGTTGGCCTGCCGGCTTGAGAGCCCCAGCGCACGTTAGCTTGTCTCGCGCGCCAATCCAGACTTGATTAGCAAGTACAAGGCGGTACAGTATGATGTGTAACACTAATCTTAATTCAAAGGCCTACTAATTCAATTACTGCAGGAGATGCAACGTAGACCCTAACTTGCCCTTACAATAGTTTATACCAATATTACTTGAGTTTATAAATAGAATTAGTATTCTTTAGTAACAGTATTACAGTTTACTAATAGTTCACTGCTCAGTGAAATATTTACGTGACAGCCTTATGACGTCATAGTGGCAAGGCAAGCAATAAACCTGAACGAGAACAATATGTTGGAAAGTTGTTCATAAGGCAACAGAAGTGAACGTAAAAGTTGTTAATATATGATCACATATAAGCTATTTTCGGTACGTCCTTTGACAAATAAAATGTTTTGACAACTATTAGAATTTATGGGCCATGAATGAAAATTATATGTAACCCTTCATACCAATTTCGCGTGCACTCTGGTGTGTCAATATTGCAACGAACAACCAGTTCGCTACCAAGAAATAAATCTGGCTTCACATATATAAAAAGTATGTTCAACAAAACTACCTAGTTCTCCCATAGAAAAAAAAAAGAAATATTTTGCATACGTGTTGATTTCAAGTTCGAACTCTTGACACCGGAAGTACTCGATGGCTGAACGTTAATGTGGTGTGCTCTTCCGTCACACCACAAT